ACTTTGTTGATATGTTGAAATTATATTTTTAAATGGCATTTTGTTTTGTTGTAAACTTTGGTACACAAATAGAGGGCGAAGAGGCAGGCGAAGGTGACGCTGATGAAGGCGGAGGAATGACAGCAGGAGAAGCTCCTGAAGAAACACATCCTAAAGTGGATCCACGATGGCCAACCAGAGTGTTTGCAACTGGATGTATCAAGAAAATTATTGTTGTCTGTCAATCAAAACAGGGTCACTTTGATTTGGTAGTAGCACGCACATTGCGAGAGGAGACTGGAGAGGGTGAGATACCTTTAGAATAAACAATTAACCTTCTGATAACTCCTCTCTCTCACCAAGCCCCTTCATTCAATAATTCCTTAGTCTACCCCCCTCACTTCCCTCAGACGACCCCTCACACCTTCCTTGGTGTAACCTCAAATCCTCAGTCTATTCTCTCCTCCCTCCCTCCTACCTCAGGGTACCCCCTACCCCCATGACTTCCCTGAGTTTATCCCCTAGACCTCCCTCAGTCAACCGTCATTCACGTTCCTACGTACCCATGTTGATAGGCAGGACCCATGTTGATAGCAGTTTTTAAAACTGAATTGGTTATCCTGCATAAATATGTTATTATTAACAATTGGGGCTTGGATTTTTCTATTACACTAAATATGTTATTATTAACAGTTATTCCATGCATTGGATATGAGATGATAGATAGCCAATGAGGTGTGTAGTGCTGAGTTGGCTATAATCATCTTATATCCATCAAGCACAAGTGGAATAATTGTTTTATTTAAAAAAACGCCCCCAAGATACTAGACAAATCTTCTTGACTTTTTTTTGTAAGAAACCCGATGTTACAATGTACAGATATTAGATTATGGTATATTGGCTCATATACCATAATGGCTAAGCCAATAAAAAGTCTTGAATTGCATTATCCAATGATCCAGTTTTCAATCATTATTATTGTTACCGGTATATCCCCTCACCCCTCTAAAACCTTGGAAATTGATCAATCCTCCCCTTGGGCTTAAGAGCATTTATAGCTTACAGAGCTCAGTTTTATTGAATGATACATGGCTTTCATAATGGATGAAAATCTTTGTGATCAAGTTTCTCACTTGATCAGAGACAAGGTGGTATTTAGAATTTTGTAACTGAGCTATAACCATGCCTTATTTTTGTAAAACATGGAGGAGGCTTCTTATGTTTTAATCAATGGATGAACTTTGATGAACTTTGACTTAATTTAGTTTTCTTTGGCAGACTTTCTTGTTATGCATCTTCAAGAGCTTGTCCGAATGGTGTTCATTGCAGCCACTGCAACATGCGATCATTTGAAGCTGGAGGGACTTAGCACTTTACAGGTAGCTTGCTGTTCATAGAAACTAGAAATTGCCCTTTTCATGTTTAAGAATTGGCCATTTTCCTCATTAATCAGGTTTATAATGTCCCTTTGAAGTAGAAAAAAAGCAATTGAATAAGAATTATGGACAGTTTTTTTTATTTTTTTTTATTCAGTCTATGCCTGTTAAATTGGTTTTCCTTTTTTTTCAGGATGTTGTCAACATGTTTGCTTCAGTTCCCGATCCTGATTATCCAGGGCATGTTATTCTGGAACAGTTTCAAGCTCAGGTGAGAAATGGCTATTCACTATAATAGAAATAAGAATAGGTTGCTGTGACGCACTTACACAACAGTTTTCTTCATTTTAGTCATGATGAATAATTGTTGGTCAAAATATTTAAAACAATACAAACTGTGTTTGTGACTACAGTAAGACAACTACATAGACCTGCATCTCAAATATAAAAATTTTTGCCATGAATAGGTTGGGGCCGCTTTGCGACCAGCATTTGCCTCAGATATGCCATCTGATGTCACGGCCATGGCATGCGAGGTAAGAAGTGACACTTTATCATGTGATACAGGTCCTAAGCTCTGTACTCCTCTTCTGTCACCTGCTATGCCAAAGTAATCCCTTCCCCACCCCCTCACCCAGCACTTTATCATGTGATACAGGTCCTAAGCTCTGTACTCCTCTTCTGTCACCTGCTATGCCAAAGTAATCCCTTCCCCACCCCCTCACCCAGCACTTTATCATGTGATACAGGTCCTAAGCTCTGTACTCCTCTTCTGTCACCTGCTATGCCAAAGTAATCCCTTCCCCACCCCCTCACCCAGCACTTTATCATGTGATACAGGTCCTAAGCTCTGTACTCCTCTTCTGTCACCTGCTATGCCAAAGTAATCCCTTCCCCACCCCCTCACCCAGCACTTTATCATGTGATACAGGTCCTAAGCTCTGTACTCCTCTTCTGTCACCTGCTATGCCAAAGTAATCCCTTCCCCACCCCCTCACCCAGCACTTTATCATGTGATACAGGTCCTAAGCTCTGTACTCCTCTTCTGTCACCTGCTATGCCAAAGTAATCCCTTCCCCACCCCCTCACCCAGCACTTTATCATGTGATACAGGTCCTAAGCTCTGTACTCCTCTTCTGTCACCTGCTATGCCAAAGTAATCCCTTCCCCACCCCCTCACCCAGCACTTTATCATGTGATACAGGTCCTAAGCTCTGTACTCCTCTTCTGTCACCTGCTATGCCAAAGTAATCCCTTCCCCACCCCCTCACCCAGCACTTTATCATGTGATACAGGTCCTAAGCTCTGTACTCCTCTTCTGTCACCTGCTATGCCAAAGTAATCCCTTCCCCACCCCCTCACCCAGCACTTTATCATGTGATACAGGTCCTAAGCTCTGTACTCCTCTTCTGTCACCTGCTATGCCAAAGTAATCCCTTCCCCACCCCCTCACCCAGCACTTTATCATGTGATACAGGTCCTAAGCTCTGTACTCCTCTTCTGTCACCTGCTATGCCAAAGTAATCCCTTCCCCACCCCCTCACCCAGCACTTTATCATGTGATACAGGTCCTAAGCTCTTTACTCCTCTTCTGTCACCTGCTATGCCAAAGTAATCCCTTCCCCACCCCCTCACCCAGCACTTTATCATGTGATACAGGTCCTAAGCTCTGTACTCCTCTTCTGTCACCTGCTATGCCAAAGTAATCCCTTCCCCACCCCCTCACCCAGCACTTTATCATGTGATACAGGTCCTAAGCTCTGTACTCCTCTTCTGTCACCTGCTATGCCAAAGTAATCCCTTCCCCACCCCCTCACCCAGCACTTTATCATGTGATACAGGTCCTAAGCTCTTTACTCCTCTTCTGTCACCTGCTATGCCAAAGTAATCCCTTCCCCACCCCCTCACCCAGCACTTTATCATGTGATACAGGTCCTAAGCTCTGTACTCCTCTTCTGTCACCTGCTATGCCAAAGTAATCCCTTCCCCACCCCCTCACCCAGCACTTTATCATGTGATACAGGTCCTAAGCTCTGTACTCCTCTTCTGTCACCTGCTATGCCAAAGTAAT